TTTTTTTTTTTTTTTTTTTTTTTTTTTTTTTCTCTAATATTGCTGGAACTGTATACAGTGGTGCTGAGAAAAAAAAGATGCTTTAATTTGCATATGGAAAAAAGAAGCGCATATAGCATGCTGAAGTAACGCGACATTTCATTTAATACAGTTGCTGATCGTACTGTTTTTTCTTTTCTGTTCAGTAATATTAAAGCTAGTACCACGAAACTGAACTGAAATGGAAATATTATACAGAAAAGTACAGAATTCGTCCACCTAAAAATCAAATACGCATACAAAAAATAAACAAAGAATATATGGAATTTTTGTAAAAAATTTATTGCAGAAATACAGCGGGTACAATAGCACATTTGCAGAACTGTAAAGCTTAGGAATTTAGAAGATGCCGCTAAAATATTATTAAGGGATCCGGCAAATTTGAAAATACCAAATTAAAATTATAGCCGACAAATGAGAGAAAGGTATATATCTTCTTCCTGCAGATAACAACATATGTTCAACAGTACTGTAGGGGAATAGCGTAGGTGAATTATACTTTGGTATGTTTATTGTTTTTTCTTTTTGATCTTCTTTGAAAATAAAAAATGAAGCAATACAAAAATAGACTAAAATAATCTAAAAATTTTGTTTACCTCCTACACTTCTGATGATGAAATTCTCATTATTTGCAGATGTGTACCTATTGTTGGACAAAAGTCAACTAGTTTACCACTTTTTTTGCTTCAACATTTTCTGGTAACTGCTTTATCAACTTAAAAAGCAATCAAACGACAGAAAAAGTAAGGAGGAAAAAAGAAGACAGACAAACACACAACTGCGAATAAGTTTGTTGTGCGTTTCAGATCACTCTTATAAACTCAGTTAGCTCTGTATGTGTCATAAACAGTCAGTAGTCTAAGTGGTTGGTTATATTTGGTGATTAAAGTTATAGACTATAAGAACTGAAGAGTGCGGATAGACAGGTGTTTTTGTTGAAAAAAAGTTGAACAGAAAGATTTATACAGCTGGAGGAGAAGCCGATGAAAATGACGAGGAAATAGAGGAATAACATTGTCGCTGCGATACTGCCGACGAGAAGTTTGGTCCCCCCATTTTTCGTGGTGAGACCGTCAGTTTTAAGCAAACTTTTTTAAAATCTTATGACAAAAGTCGCCTTTTTTCTCAGTTATTTCTCTAAAACATTATGGGGGCGAAAATATTTAGAGATCTGTTTCACAGTTATGGATTCATGGATGCAGAATCTGATTTACTTTAAATCTGATGACGATACCTACAAGATTGCAATTAAAAGTTGGTTGTTCAATAGGCGATAGAGCAAGTAAGCAATGTTTTAAATGACGTAAATTTACGAAAGTTTATAGCAGAGAGCTTTGTTATGTCAATACTTGATGGTTCTTGTTTCTTAAACCTGACCCCTGATAATTTTGATGGCAAGTATAACCAGCATCTGTAGAATTATGCATAAATCGGTAAGAATGTTGCTGCTTTTGTAATGCTTAAATTATATCACTGTCGTAAGTTGCTACACAATTTTTGTTTTATGACACTTAATTTGTGTTTTGCTTCATTCATTCTCGTCCTCTTTTTTTGTTTATTTTTCATCATCGCTACTGGTCTTTTCGTTCTTTTTTTAATAAGCAATGATTGGCATAAAACGCTTCTGTATAATAACATATATAAAATGAAAATTGTTTTCAAGATCTTTAATTTTATTAAGAATTTTTACATGCGATTTGATTCAAACATCTCGTTAATACAAAAAATTAAAAAATAACAAATTTTTTAGAAGAAGCAAACTACTAAAGAAATTGTATTCACTGAAAGTGCCTTTTGAATTTCCTCTATCTAGTTTTTCGGTCCTATTGAAGACCTATTTTCTTACCCTTTCATTCGTTGTACTTTTGACAGTTATTGGCTTTGTTGACTTAGAAGACTGTTAATTTGGACAAGGTATTGCTTTAAAGAATAATAAAAAAAGAGAAGAAAAAAAAGATAAAGGGTTTAGTTTTTTTGAGTTAAAAAGAGAATAATTGACCTTGTTTTAAGAACCAGTAAATATTTCAGCAGAAGACAAGTATTTGTGAAGTCATCGAGGGATGCGGAAAATGAAAGGAATCTTAAAAGTGACAAACAAAAATAAAATAGCTTTTAGAAATTTTTTACAGAATATAAATGAACTTTGTGGAAGCACACTAAAAGCGTTTAAGTTTAACTAAAACTATAGAAAAGAGTTTGAATGGATTAAACAGTGACTTAAAATAAGAAATCGCTTATCATTTCTCTGAATGCTTCATCTGCCTGCAGAGACAAAACCGATGAATTCCGATTAGCTAAAATGAGGAAAATGCAGTGTTTCGAACGGTCAACAAACTTCATTTATCCGGACCTAGGGAAACAGTTTATGTCAACTGACACCAAAAGTTCAGTGTGTCTGGTAATTATTTGAATTTTCATTGTCTTATTGATAGGAATCTGTAAACTAATGTCTATAGCATTTTGTTCAATTTAACACTTTGACTTTTGGGCTGCAAACGCTGCAAATATTTTTTTCAATTCATTCGGCACAATCGCTTTATGATACTTTACATTCATTCACTAACGCACACTTCATGACATAAGTCACAAATTTATGCGCCATTTCTTTCGCAGTTAATACATTGCAAAAAAAAAAAAAAATTAAACTGAATATTGAAAGCAAAAGAGTACAAATTTACACAAAGGAAAGGTGAAAAAACAATACACGAGACTGAAAATAAACATTAAGTACTCTAAGAGAAGTGGAATTTAGAAAAAATGTCCACGTGTATTATTAAAACGATTGAACTTCTAAAAATAATTTGGAAAAAATAAATCAAAAAAAGCTCTAAAGAAGAAGTGTGAAGAGAAGTCGAATCAGGCGACTATATAATCTCCAAAAAGCATTCTTTAAATGTGTGTATGGAAGTGAAGCATAGAAAACCACATACAATATAATATTGTCGGCAGCAATTCCTAAATTTTAAAGCGGATTTTCGTCAAAGACGATCAGTTTGAAGCTGTATTAGCAATTTTTTAATTTTTTATTTCTAACATTTGAATAGGTTAAACCCCTTATAAAATCCAAAAAAAAAAAACTATTGGTGGTGGATCCACTTTTACTGCTTACTTATATTCAAATTTTTAAGATAACAGCTTTGAAAGTGCATGCTGATACTGAGACTTAACTTAAGATAATGTGCTCAAAAAACTCTTGACTGATGAATGGTAATAAAAGTCTGTTTTATAAATTGTTTAATGAATTATTTGCTGTGACAACTGTTACAAGAGAAACTTGCAATTCGCTACGGTCTTCTAACATTTTCTGTATAAGCATTTATTTAATGAGGTTTACATCAAAGAATGGTTTGAGTAAATTGATGTTGGCAGTGTTTTTCACCAGAAACCATCCAACGTTTGAAAGAATGAACACCCCAGGCGAATACAGAGAATGCTGCAGAAGATCAGTCAGTACTTGATCAATGAGCAAAAAATTTTTAGTGGTTGTAATTGAACGATCCCATGAGGCTTCTCTGCCTCTTGCAATACTCTTCTCTGTTTCAAATAACGTATCATGTCATTCGGAATTCGTCACAAAGTTTCACGAGATAACTTTGTTACAACAAAACGATAGTTAAGCATCGTATTGCAGAATCAAATTATCTCTCCAACATCCTGTCAAGCACCTGGAATTCTCTTTCGACAAGGGATTTTCCCTTTTCAGTGGTGCATCTACTTTCTTACCTATCTAGAGCTGTTTATTTACATAAACTGTTAGGCTAGCTATTATGCAGTAATACCTTTTTTTGCGACGATTAAACAGCTAAGAATTAGTGTATTATGGCAGTTTACTGTGAAATTTGTAAGAGAAGAACTTAATATAACTCAACGTTTGCTTTTTGCTCAAAAAAAATTCTTTTTTACCCTGTTTTTTGTCTTTCAAACAACAATTTGCAGGTCTGACGTTGGTGATAACTTATTTTAAGAATGTTGACTTATGCCTAAACAGTTTCTGATTTTGTCATCACTACTTTTTAGATTTTTTTAATATCGCTATGCTCTCTAATTAATTCAGGTTCTTAATGAATAGGGACCAATGTGGAGTTTTTGAATATTTTGCAAATTTTACTAAAATAAATGCTCATCTCATAGGCTTAAGGCTGCGTTTCTTAAATGAATTTCCTTACTGAAGCTCAACTTCTAAACTGTGTTTACCCACTGACTAGACTGTTGTTCAGAAAGCTTTAAAAAAGTCGCAGTTTAATAGATTTAAAGAATACCTGATGTTTCGCTCAAGTGCATCGTTTCCTCTAACTTACATGTACTCTTTGGCTCTTTATCTTTCTTTTTATAGCAGATGAAATTTTTCGCTGCAGATAAAGCCACAAGCGTAGGATGGCCTCGTGCAACTGGCATAATCTATGCACGTAGCTCTAAAAAGTAGAAATATGAGAAGAATTTGTATTTGTTAAGGTATCAAGCAGAACATATTGAAACAAAAATGAGGGGTTTTTCAGCAAGTCGAGTAGCTTGTTATATACAAAGGGACGACCGAAAAACTATAGTTTGGAGATCGTAAAAAAAACAATTCTGCAAAGTATTCTGAGGTCATCCTGCATTTATTATTAACGTCACCCGTTTACAAACAGCAGAAAGTGTTGCGCAACCAGCGCTCTTTATATTCAATTATATAACCAAAAAATATTACACCTTCGTTTGCTGACCACCAACATGTCTTTTTTCTTGCTGCACTCGGTTGCAAATGTATCACTGTGTGTATCAGCACAGAGGTTTCACCAGTATAATCACGAAATCATTTTTTTTCTCGGTTTTTTTGGCCCTTCTCTGCAAAAGTCTCACGATATTTGTGTATCTTCGAGGCAAATATCTTTGAAGTTACTTTTGCCTTTTTAATAACTGCTTTTCTTTTTCCTTGCTATAAAATTTTTCTATTACGGCATTTACATGAACATTTAACTGGAATATTTCTACGGCCCTACTGCAATATTACTGCAGCAGTATTGTCGGTAAGTGGTTGAATAAGGTAACGAAGTCGAATTTTAGTAATTACAAACAATTGTTGTCGTAATAATTTTTAACCTCTTCAATCATAATAACTCATCAATGGCACCACAAAAGTAGTGAAGAAGTGCATTTCCGTTTCACTAAACTTTCCGGTCTTCTCTTCAAAATATCTATAATTTAAATTAAAAGAATTTGTGACTCTCAGCTGTTGTTTCATTATTTCATACTCCCTATGAAAAATTTGATACTTTCACTGGGAAAGGGGTTCAGCGTAACGTACAACCAGTGATCTACTGTCTGCCTTTTATTGGGCTGAAATTATGTAAGAATTATGAAAAATTAGAAAAAAAGTAACGTGCTTAACGTAGCAGCAACAATACTTTTATTTGAGATTTTTCAGTCAAAAACCTAAGAAGGTGCTTTTTTAGGTTAATTTAGAACATCTGAAATTGTATTTATCGCTAGAAATGTTGTGTTAATATTTTGTTCAGACGAATTTGTAGTTCTTCTGAGTGCACTGCCAGTCTTCGAGAACAGCGTTGGTATTTTTAAGAAATCAGAACTTATTGAACCTTCAACGTTTTATTCCAAAAGAAATTTTTAAATTATAAGTTTTCTGAATTTCTTTTTGTTGAAGAGCTGCTATAAAGATGGCGATTTAACAGGTTTTATTGCAATCCATATTCACATATTCACAAACAAAAAAAAATTTGGTTTTAAATAGTCAAAGCCCTCTATTATCACATATTTTATTTTATTTTATTTATTTTTTTTTGGCAACTACTTATTCTCAACTGTCCAGCGAACTGGTGTGTAATGATTTGTTTAAATACCCTCTCCTTGTTGCTGTGTCTCGACTTTGGATACTGAGTCTTGCTGCTGGTTTTTCTGGGAATAGCTCACTAGCTTCATATTCCTCGTTACTGCAGTGTACAAATGGTAACCAACGAAACGCATATTTAAATCCCACACGGAATCTTAAACAGGACACTTAATCATTATTTCATATTACCAAAGCACAATAAAAGTTTTAATCAAATGATATTGTTTAATATTACACAATCTTTCTTGAAATATTCTACGAATAACAATACCGGTCGTTAAAGATATTGCCAGTAGCAAACCTGTTGTTTGAAAGGCAGTAAATGAATGGATTATATGCAGCAGCACTCATTGCTAACCAATATGCTATCAGGTATGTATAATATGAGACTTTAAATTCGTTGAACTTGTCGAAAAGATTATCAAACAAGGCATGATAAAGCTGATAAGGTAACCAACAAATCATAAAAACAGTCACAACTAAGCCAAGCATTTTAATCACCTGAAATCACAAGAAACCATTTTGCAGAATTAGATAACCAATGATGTTAAATAAATCTGTTCGATCATCAATTTTTTACTTTTATATTTTTCAATCAAACAAAAGACACTAAACATTTTTTGCATTATTCTGCAAACCCAACTTTTTTCTTACTGAACTTAAGTAGTTATCAAACCTTTTTTTTGGCTTCAAACTGTGCTGGTTGCTTCCCTTTTCGTTTATATTCCTCGTTTTCTCGTTGAATTATCCATGCAATGCTACCATACGTTATAGATAGAATAAATAATGGGATTACGTACTGGACAAGTAGTATAAATGTTTCATATCTGTAAATTTCTGCTTTTAATTAAGATCAAGTCTTCTAAAAATTGTTTAAAAAACTCTTGATCAAAATGCAGTAAAGTAATAATACAGAAACTTTATTGGTTTTTATTAGTTGGCATTTGTGGTCAGATCTCTGTAGTATTATCACCTAAACATCCAATAAATTATGTGATATCAAAAGTTATTTGCTATTCAATCATACTGATCAATTTTTTGAGTAAAATTTTCAGATTTCAAGTTGTTTTTTAAAGGCAAAACTAAATGATTAAACTTACATAGTTTTGCATTTAAAATCAGATTTACAGATCCAATGTGTTTGTAGAACTTGAAGTTTTGGCGAAAAAAAGAAATGCTTTTCTACAGTTGCATAGATGGCATTTGGTGAAGCGATGACCAGCGCTGCAAACCAAATACCACCAATCAACCATTTTGAATGACGATTCAGTAATGGTTTGCTACTGAACGGAAACACTATTGCATGACACCTAAATCAGTATATAATTGAACAATTTTTACTTCTTTACAATAGAATTTTTGATTAGTTTTTTTTTGTTGTTGTTTCAGAAAAAATTATTATTTAATTGTTATCAAGGAGCAGAATACATGAAAGAGGCAGCTCTAAAGGCAGTAAAAGTTGTTTAATGAAACTTAAATACCGATGTTCCTTTTTTTAGAATACTTACATAAAATTACTAACCTGTCCCAGCTAACTATTATCATGGTAAACACAGATACACAAGTTAAGGCAACGCTCATAAGTAGATTAATAGCACAAAAGTTTCCAAACCACCAGTCGTAGTAGAAATTGAATGTCCAAGTTGTACCGACGTTTAGTATCACCGTTAAGCAGTCAGCAAATGCCATATTAAACAAAAAATAATTGAACCGTCGACGCATCAACTTAAAAACTGTTCATTGTACATCAGAAGAAAGCTTTGAGATTAGCTTAAGCTAAAATTACGCTCTTTCTTTTCTTGCTGCTGTCATGAAAACCACTTCTGTTTATAGAAAAACTGAAAAAGCAGAAACTGCCGCTGCTTTTCGTGAAACATCAAAATTGAAACAGATTTAGGCTTGAAAACGTTTCAAGACTATGTTCAGATACATTATTTCATATATTTTTTTCCACTCTTTTCTCTTTTTAGTTCTTATAAAATAAGAATCATAACTAAAGGACTTCTAGACAGGCTTTTAAAGATTCCTCTGAAACTAGGCTCATTTATCTCAAGATGGTCTCTCCAAAAAATGAAAGTTTTAGAATTATTAATTTTTTCAATCAATGACAAAGTGACAAAATGATAAAACTTTTTTTGAAACATATAATTGCATATTTCACAAATATTTTTACCTAAAATAAATCAAAATGATACCGTTGAACATTGTAATTAGGTATGTATATTGTGCAAAGTAAATTGTTATTCAAATTTTTTACAAATTAAAAAATTTGTCAAAAATTAAAGTTTTAAAATCATGTAAAGTGTACCTTATGAGCAACAATAATCCACATAACGACAGCGTTGCCGAGAATACCAACAACAATTATCAGAAAAAATGCTGCAGCCACAAAAATTTGTATAGCTCTAAAAATTGTAAGCACAATAACTGTTGTAGCTAAAAAACGGTGATTAAATTTTAGCTATAATAATACTAAAAACCTATCTTTTTCCTTGATCAGCTAGAAAATAAAAATACTTACATGCCATGATTGACCGGAAATTCTTGGCAGTGAAGGTCTAGCAGCGGTGTAATTGAACCAAAATGGGTGCATGCAAATTCGGCAGCCATACGAAGAACTGTTTCATTGTGCTGATAATTTTCTTCGATGTGTTTCATTTCAGTTTCCAATAATCATTTAGTTTAGTACAACGGTATGGTTTGTTCTTATAACTTCTTTTACAATTTCTTATTCAGTTATTTTAGGCTGCTATATAACCGGTGTGTTGAGACTGAAGTTTTTTATGCTGTTAGCAGCAGAAAACGGTATTTTAGTAGTGAAGGTAATGCTTCAACAAATAGGAAAAGAAACAAAATCAAATACTGTTAAGGTGAAAATTAAAAAGTCGACGTTAAGATATCAATCAGCTGAAACACAGTATGGCATACTGAGTGTTATTAGTAGGTATAACAAAAAAAAAAAATTAAAATGTTGATTTCACAAAAAAAAATATTCAGACACACAGTATAGTTTTCTTCTCAACGATTATTGTCAAAACTTTGTACATTTGAACTGTACATTTGAATTGTAAGAAGTTGCATTGTGCTTACTGCAAATATTTGGAATAAAAACGCCAAAAAACATAAGTTTATTAGTTTGAATAAATTAGTGAAGTCATTCTTCAAGCAAAAACGTACACAAAAAACTGTATTTAGCACAAAGGAATAGCACTGTTTAGCATAGAAAAATAATAATGATAGCTGAGAACTTTGGTGTCTTAATCAGCTGTAAAAAGAACGAAAAGAAGAAGAAAAAAATTGAGCAACTATATAGATGATGAGTGAAACAACAAATTATCATTTGTAGCCAGATTCCATATGATTAAAATATATTGCTTAAAATTTTTTCAATCAAAAAAAAAAAGTGATTATAGAGTGACAAATTAATTTGCTGTTAGCATAGTGTAATTTTGAGCATATCAATTTGTATGAATAACTTCTCGCTCTGCTCTTCTTTCTTTTTTGGATTCATGTAAAAGAATAACAATAATAATCAAATTTACGCATATTCAACTGCTGTTTAAATGAATAAATGACTAGAAGAAGCAAAATCTATTTTTTTTTTTTGTTCCAATTTTTATTATTACCAATAACAATAATAATAATTTGATAAAAAATGAAATGCAGTTTTCAACTATTGCTATATCCAAATTCAATTGTTGTTGGAAAACCAAAACAAGTTATTTATTTGTTGCAAAAAAAAAAGAGGAAAAAATTTTTCATAGTTATTTGTATGTTTGTTTATTTGTTCAAAAAAAATTGTATTATATAAATTAAGAGAGCATAAACTGAGTGCTATCTACCAAAATCAACTAATATCAGTGCTTATCAGTTCGTTTTAGAACTGCCTATCAAGCTTAATAACATCAGTGTAAAAATGTAACTGTAACTTTACTGTTAATCGTTGAAGTTTCAAAGCCTGTATTTTAGTTTTGAATAAAATTATAAGACTGTAAGCAGTAAGGTCACTGAATGAGTGATAAATACTTTTCGTTCTACACTTTAGGTAGCTATAAATAAAGAAGAATAAAAGCTATGATACGAAGTTAAGTGAACTGTTTACGTTTATTGCTGCAAGACAAATAATCAGTAATAATAACTGA